CCCTGCGCGGCCCCAAGCCAGCCAGCGCAGAGAAGTGAAAACGCAACTCTGAAAGTCATTTCGGCCTGAATGTCCAAGCGCAAACGTTGGCTTACTCTGTTTTGAACGGGAACACCCCACAGTAGTGGACCCTGTGGCAAACCCCAACGCCTCTTCAAAACCCCGAGATCACTGCTCTATAAGGTAGATGAAGCAACTGAGACAGCTTTAAAACCAATCAGCTGGCAGAATGGATCTGCAAGGCAAAGGCAGCTGATGGCATCATGGTACTTGTCAGCATCGGTTTCTCTTCCCGTTGTTGTTCCCACCATGTCCATCAAGCAAGGAGGCGACCCCCCCACCCGCTAGTGTTCCTGCAGCCTTGGCCCCTGACTCAGCCCAATGCAGTTTGGATTTTAGGGAACCAGCCAGCCTCACGACCTCGATGCCTGGCTCTAGCGCTTGCGACTAAACCCAGCTGCCCGCGGCAGCCCTCTTCCTTAGGCGCCCACCCCAAACCCAAGACAAAAATAAAACTATACGCAGCTGGCCAGCCGGCAGCCGCTCCCGAGGCTGAGCCCGGTGTAAGCCTGTTTCGTTGCATGTTTGTCGCCAACCCCAACTTCGTCAGGCCCTCACCCGTCTTGCTCAGCCCACCACTTGCCCTCAGCCAATGGCATCATTTGCTGAAGCAAGCATTGCTCTTGTTCTTTTGAGCCTGGTCCAGCGCAGCATGTGCATTTACATCAGCAGGTAGTCGCGAAACTCAAAACGGCTTGCTTCAAAGAGCCCTGCAAACCATAGGCCTCTGCCAATCTGAACTCATTCGAGCTGCAAACTTCCAGCCAGGCCGAGCCGTGTCTCAAGGATGTGCGAGACCAAGCTCGCACTCTGCCTTGCGCAGTGCATATGCTGGGGAATTCCTGATAACTCCTGCAAGGCATTCATCTGTGCGTGCAGTCAAGTCACATCAGGTGTACCTGCCAAAGCACCATGGAGATTGGTTGGCAAGTCCTCTCACTCTAAACAAGCCCCCTCGCGGGGCGTGCTTATGGGTCGTCTTGGTTTCTGCAACGGGGGCCCAACGTCCAAATTCCTACAGCCAGATAACTGCGTCTTCTGATTTTGGCTTCGCGTGAGCCCTGACACTGCTGTTTGGATGGCCCCCCCCCCAAACCAGCAATGCTGCTACCTGGTGTCCTTGCCGCTGCCTGTTCTTGCCAAGGCGCTTGGAAGCAGCACTTGTGAAAGCCTCCTGGTCCGCAGCAGCAAGCTGAGCAAAGCCATCCAAGGCCCTTTGATTTGTGAAAATTGAAGCCCGACCTATGAATGTTTCACGCCCTAAAAAGGCAGTCTAGACACTCCCGTATTGAAACGAGGACACTGCGGTAGCTATGCTTTGCGCCGTTTGTCCCGACAAGGGTTCTCGTTACAGAAAGGGACCTGCGGGTCAGCATGTGTTCGCCAATTAGTTGGTGCCACCAAGTTGGTGCGGCTTGCGACATGATGCCTGTCGATTTTTTTATAGCTCTCCTGCGCGTAAACCGTAGCTGTTGAGAAGCAACGTGTTATTTCGCCCAGGCGCAGAGGCGTGTTGGTCGCAGGCGTTGTCAGCAAGATTTGCCTGCAGCGCTTCAAGGCACGACATAAAGATTTTGTGGCAGACGCAGCCCTTGATAGAGTTGCCGGTTGAACTTCGCGACGAGCGCAGTGCATGGGCTGCGCAGATTCTGTGGCAGGCGCAATTCTTTACAGCGTCGCGCGTTGAAATTCGGTAGGCGTGGCCTTTCGAGCAGGCGCGACACTATGGAGCTTTGCGCTAATTATTGTGAATAACGTGGCAGGCACCGTGTTGCCAGGGGTCGCACGTTTCAGCGTGGCACAGAGCGCAGACTTCGTGGTTTTCGCAATGCTTTAGAGCCTTGCGCTCTGAATCTCGTGGCAGGCGTAGCTCTTCGAAGCATGGGGTTTGCAAGTTGGAGGCCTACGTGTCAGTGAGCGCAGCGAGGACTTGGGATTCGCGGAAGGAGGCTGATGGTTTTCGCCTCCTTGCACCTTGCAAAACCAGCAGCTGAACTTGCCCCGCAAAAGCCTGCTGACTCAGTAAAGATTGAAGCACACCTGGCAAACAAACGCCAGAATCTGACGCGCAGCGCAAACAGCACCCGTGAGGTCCATCAAAACCTTGTAAGTTGCCGCATTTGACCTCGCACCCTGCAAACCCGCGTGCCAGCAGAATCAGCAGCGAACAATCCAACGTTGCCGCGTTCTCAGGGATGAAAGCTCGGCTGGAAGACAAGCGCGCTCGTTCGCGCAAGCACTCTTTGGGTGCGAAAAACTCAAACTCAAAGGCGCCAGTCAGCGAAGGCCTGCTACAATGCGTGGCTCGGCTGTAGCTAAGTTGTAGCAAGGAGCAAGAAGAGTTGTCTCCGCCGCGCGACTACAACACTGAAATCAATAAACGAAATCAATAAAGGAGAGCAAGCTCCGCAGCCCGCGAGGACAAACGTTGGCTCGCCCCGCCGAAACCCAACATCTGTCTGAGAGGCAGCAAGACCATGCTGGGAAAACTGCGGACGCTCTTCGTGCACAGGAAGAGGGGTCTCGGATCCGAGCACTCCAGCATAAACCGGGATGCGCAACTGCCACGGATAGCCAGGTCCGAAACGCAAGTGGCAGCGCTGTCAAACCCTCCTGCGGCGCTGGCCTAAATGGCGGCCGAAGAACCCATCGGGGCTGATACCTGCGCTGATTGCTACATTGCCCGCCAGTCACCATACAAGGAACCACGAGCAGTGGAAGTCATCAGCAACTAACATGGCAATCAAAAGGACCATGCAGTCTCCAGCAGGTGCCCTGCTAGTCTGACACTTGCCTCTTATCTATGGAGAGGCAGATCCTGGAAGTTGGCGAGGGGGGGTACGGGAGATTGGGCCAAGCTGCGGGCCCTGAGTTGGAGCATGGGCAAATGTTGGGCCCTGTCAGCGTGTGATGACAAGCTTCACTGACCCGACACCTAGCTGTCCTGTCTTATATTTCTTGCCCTGCACGAGCGAGTGAATGAGGCAGTCAGCCAGTCTGAGCGAGCCAGCGAGCGAGCTAGTGACTGAGCGGGCCAGTGTGCAATTAGAGAGCGCGAGTGAGAGTGAGTGAAGGAGCGAGTGAATGGCTAAGTGTACCAGTGAGATTGAGTTTGGGCGAGTGGGAGAGAGCATGAGGGAGAGAGAGAGAGAGAGCGAGAAAGAGAGAGTGTGAGTGAGAATGAGTCAAAGTGAGCGAGCAAGAGCAAGAAAGGGTGAGAGAATGAGAGTGAGTAGAGTGGGGTGAGTGGATAAAGTGGAGTGGGAATGGAGCGGGAATGGAGTGGGAAGGGAATGGAATGGAAGGGAATGGAATTGGAATGGATGGGGATGGGCGTGGAGCGGAGTGGAGTGGAGAGTGGAGCCGAGATGGAGTGGAGCGGAGAGCACAGGGGATTGGAGTGGAGAAGCGAGGGTCAATGTGTAAGTGAGATAGGGTGAGTGAGAGTGAGGGTGAACGAGAGTGGGAAGAGTGCGTGAGAGTGAGAGACAGAGTGCGTGAGCGTGAAAAAGCAAAAGAGAGTAAGAGAGAATGAGAGTCAGCAAGAGCAAGAGTGAGAGCTGGAGCGAGAGAGGGAGACATTGAGAGGGCGGAAGAATGAGACAGAGAGAGTGTGACAGAAAGATTGGGTGAATCATTGTGAGAATGATAGCATGGAAAGCAAATGTATGCAAATGTTTTCCGGGTTGTCTTTAGGAATTGTCTTGGAGATGTCTTCGTGTGTGTGTCGTTGGGCGGGTCTTTGTGTCTTGCAAGGAACGCGATATCAAGCCTTGGGCAGAAGTGAAGTGTTGCTCAGAGGTCACTCAAGTGTCGAACACAGGTTCAAGGGGCGGTCAGAAGCGCCCCTCGAAAGTGTCTGTCGGAAGCGTCGCTCCGAAGCAGGTTCGCGACAAAATGAGTTAAGCAAGATGTGGTTCAAGAGAGTTGCTCGGAGAGTGCTCCGCAGAAGAACGGATCTCACATGTCTTCCGCGTGTTTTAACTGTGTTGCTCAATCGTGTCGCTCAAACGTGCAACTGTGTTGTTCAAACGCATTGCTCAACAGTGTCCGGCATCAATCAGGTTTTCACTTGAGGGATCTGCAGTATCGACTTCCGGCAGCAGGCCTCAGAGTCTGACATGCCCGATGATTCACGGGTGGATCTGGACGAAGCTGTCTCTGTCTCCAGCGAGCAGTGGACAGGCATGCCTCAGTCATTTTGCCACATCTATATATCAGCCACACCTCATGAAAAGGTGTGGCCAAATTCAATCATGACACATTGCGGCAAAACGCCGGTTTGCAATAAGTTGGCGAACAAAGGAAACCATTAGCTCTCAAGAACCGCTACGTTGATGTCACGTTTCAATCAGAAGCCTGAGCAACACGGTCACAACATAAATGTCATCATGTCTCTCTTTGCATGGCGCCTGGTCGGATGGCAGCGTGACACACACTGGTTGAGTCTTCCTGGCAGGTCATGCCATATTCAAGACTGGTCGAACGCAGTGCCAACATCTGGGCATACTTGCCGGGCGGCCGTGCGTGTCATGCTCCCCACCATGACTAGCTAGGCACAGAGCCTAGCGGGATGACCAATGGTGTTCGGGCAGGCTCACATCAGAATGTTTGTGTGTGTGTGTTTGTGCGGTTGGGTGGCCGTGCAATATTTGTAGGCGGCACTCAATGTCTGGGGCTTGAGCGCCCCTCAAGACCAGCTCCATCCATCCATGCTTGCATTGCATTCCTGCAGCCAAGGACAGGCCGGCAATACTGGCAAATTGTGCGCACGTGTTGCCGAGGGTTTGGTAGCTGATCGCTGCGGGGCGAACCTCATTTCTGGCCGCCGTCACAGAATCTGTACGTCAAAAACTAACGAGCTTTCACCTGATTCAGGCTCGATCTCGCAACCTCACATGAGCCGGCTCGCTTAAGCGTCCACCAAGCTGGTGCGAGGATCACATGGTGCCGGTGTCGATGACAAAGCGGTACTTTACGTCGGACCTCACCACACGGTCAAAGGCCTCATTGATCTGGCTGGCGCCAATGAGCTCGTGAGGGCAGGTGATGCGGTGCTGGGCGCAGAACTCCAGCATCTCCTGCGTCTCCTGGAACCAAACTGGGAGTCTGTGTATGTGTGTAGCAGGGACTACATTACATAACCATATAACCTTAGAAGGTACCTGAACAACGGTTGGCACCTTGTGCTCAGAACCAGTAGCCGCCATCAGGTATGATTCACGAAGAAAAACCGTAGATGTAAGGGGCCGCCCAATTTGAGTTGGCTCGGGTCTTTTGTTGATCTTTGTTGCATTCCGCCATAGAGCAGTCCTGACATGCATCCTGAAACCAGATGCTGCATGTTTGTTTGTGGGCTGTGGGGAAGGCGGTATTGAGAATTGAATTGTTGTACTGTGAGTAGTGATGGGTACACGCAGTGTTGCGCGCTGTCATCATGGCATTGGTGACAACAAGTGAGATACCAGGGTCCTAACGACACACGGGCGCCCCGTTGCTTGGGTTTTAACTCGAATCTACACCCATCAACGAACTCCAAACCCAGCCTAAACTCACGCTAAACTCACCCGTTTCATCCAGAAAACGCGTTGCCAGTCTGGGAGGGGGGGGGGGGTGTTGTGTTTTTGCGTGACCATTGATCTCCTCAATCAATGTTACCCATGTAACATTTGGCTCAAAACCTACTGTCTGACTCATGCGGATAAAAAGGGCAGCCGTGCTTCCTCAAGGACATAGAATCACAAGGCGTATATTTTCCAGTGTGTTGCGTCATATTATAAATGTACCACGGGATTTTTCAGGGGTTCTTGCCCCTGGTTCGATCCAGAATTGTGGTAGCGGAGCCAACCTCGTTCCGATAAGAGGAACTCACCGATGATTGGCTGAACATCACCAACGCCGCCCCGCAAAGCAAGGACCTCTTATCAAAATCAAGTTGAACGGGGACGCATTGATGTACCAGCTGGACAACAACTGGACAACAACAAGCTCACAAATGCTGTTGAAGGCGCTGCGTATTCTAAACACACGCTGCCTCGAATCTCAGTTTCTCCAACCGGCAGCAACGAGATTCTCACATTCATCACAAAGTTCGGGATCTTCCTCCGGCGACTTAGGTCAGCATGGAACGATCTGATACCAGAAACTACGGCGCTGAAACCTGCGTGTTTCCGCGCAGTTCGGGAATTGAACCTCAAGGATCAAGCATAGGCCCAGCAATCATCTCGGTCTGGGGCCGCGATTTCTGGGCCGCCCTACAACCCAACGACCCAAACATGGTGAGGACGTGTGTCGAGAAAGTGACACAACGACACTTGGGCGGCGACAACCTTTATGACCAGATCACCATCATCCAGCGCGAGCTCACTGGTCAGCAGAGAGAGCGAGAGAGAGACAGAGAGAGAGAGAGAGAGAGAGAGACTGGTCAGCCACATTGCGTGATATCTCACGTGTGAACTACGGGCGCGAGCTGTTGAAAGCAACCTACCCAGGGGCTCTTGCAAGAACATCGATCCAGAACCCCAAGCTTGTCAACCCGGATCCCGAGGATCAGGCATATTGGGGCAAGGAAGGCGGAAAGGGCTATGGAAAGAAAAGAAAAAGAAAATACTTCCAGCCCTACGACAACAACAAGGGGAAACTGCAATATGACAAAAGAAAAGGCGGAAAAGACACGGTCAGTCTTCTGCCAGGCAGCAGATCACGGAAGCCTCATCGACACCGCCTTGTACGCCGGTTAGACAGATGGCTCAAGGGGGTCGTCATGTAAAAGAAGCTTGTGTTCAATTCGTACACATGGCGATGACGTGTCACGCTGCTTTTCAGCCTGTTGACATACCTGCCATCGAGAAGGAGTTGGCACGCATTGGTACGACTACCGCCGTTTTCTCCAGCGAAGCTGGCTGACCTATAGGGAGAAGTGTTTGGGCCAAAAGGAGCCATTTCATTGCGGAGAACTTGTAATCACTTTTTCTTTTTGCGAGGAAACGCTCGGTGACTGCCAAGCAGCAAACAGCAGCCCACGAAATTGGCATAGCCACGAAATCTACACTCGGCCTTACAAAAGTGTCGCGCCTGCCAAGAAATTTGCACCTGACCTTGCGAAAGTGCACGCGCTTGAAGCCTTGCGACACTCGGCAACTGTCCGAACCCGTGGCCAGACCGTGGCGAGATCGTGGTGAGCCTCCACGCTAAACAGAGTCTGAGCGATCTTGCCAGCCCGCAATATGATGCGCCTGCCACACAACTCCTCTCTTCTCTCTATCCCCTTTTTTCTGCTCTTTACGTACTTTCTCACTTTCATCGACTCGTTCCACTTTCCGCATTCAACCTTTCGTATACGGAAGTTTCACAACTAAACTTGCTTTGACTACATATCTGCGTATTGATTTCCTCTAATAGATCCACAGACCCTCTTAAGGTTGTCCCTATTTGGATGGAATATGGAACCCTTTATGGCCCAAATAGTCCTCCATCCTCAGGTGGAACATCTCGTGGTGGCTTGGGGCCGGGTGTTTTCAGGCTGAAAGCCATGGATTCGAAACAAAACACAAAGAAGGATACCCTCAAAAAGGACACCTTCCACATCAAAACTGAACAACGGTGCCACTGAACTACAGGGACTCCTCAAATGATATCCTGCTCTAGCACAAAGTCCGTAAAGTACCACCCCGATTGTCATCATTTGTAGAGGAATCTTCCCGTTGAGGGGCGTTCCATGTTGACATACGTGCAGTCAAGTGGAAAGTGAGCTAATATTAGTGGCTTCTCTGTCTCTAAGAGTGATCTGATCTCCCCACAAAATATAGGCCTGGGGGCCCAGCCCCATTGTATTTCCATTCTCAAAATCACTCCTATGTGGTATATAGGCCAAAGGGAACTGCACGCAGTCAATCAATGAGGGGCGAGCACAGTCAATAAGGGTGCACTGCTGCGCAAGGCAGGGCTGGGCTGGGAGGGCCAGGAGTTGCGCTAGCGGCTGCCGGCGGCTTGCGCGACTAGGCCATACCATTGCGGAGGAGGGTGGCGTCGGAGAGGAGAGCAGGGGGAGGGGAGGAGAAGAGGACGGCCTTGCGGTGGCGCCATCAAAGGCGCCCAGTCGAGCTGGCCGCCGGCAGCTGTGAGCACAACTCATCACCTCGCCCATAATACAACCTGCCCCCTCTCAATAGCTGTATTTTTTTGCATCTCCCCTGACCGGCAGGAGGTTTACAGCCATTCCTTCGCAAAGAGGAAAAATTAACCTCAAAGGGGGAGCTCGTTTGAAGCGCGAGCGGCGGGCGGTGCGTGAGGAGTGCGCTTGGAGCGCAGGCCCTGGAGAGGTCCAGCGCTTTGCACAGCCCGGTGGCCCGCGGAGACGTTTAGCTCAGGACACTGACGAGCACAAGCATAGATTCATAGCTGAATAGTACTTTGGATATCTGGTTCAAACGATGCCCTTCACATACGGGTTGAGAGGTATCAGTTGAGCTGAATAATGCAGAAAGTGTCAACTCATAGTTGAAAAGTGTTCCATGTGGTGTGGCTGAGCTTGACATTTCTCCCCCTCACCGGCAAGGTATCTGAAAGATAATGAAGCACCCATACACCCATGTTTAGTTTGGACATTGGCGTTGCTATCTCACTTTCTAGGTGTTGATCCCCCATTATTTTCAACCATTGTTCTTTTCAAAAATCGGCTGTTTCTCCTGGGTTTTTGATGGTTTCCTGAAGAGAAGGATCCCTGGAAAGAATGGGGAAGGTACCCCCTGCCCATCACTACTTGCAACGCTGCTGAATACCGCTTCCCCAAGGCAAGTGTGTCACTTCTAAATTTAGCAGGTTTGTAGCATGACTTCCTGGACAGCCCTTTGATACAAACAAATGCGCTCAAGGGCCATGTGACATGATTTTGGGCATCGCGGGCACTTGTTGACAGAACTTCACACTGTGACAGCACGGCTACGCCATTGGGCTATCATACTGTGAGCTTGTCCTGTTGCGATGCAATGTTGAAGTGCGAGCTCCGCGCAACTCGGGTGCAACTTTGCGCAACCAGGCACAACCCGGACAAGCGCACCAAATTGTCGCCTGGGGATGTCCCTGATTTGCAGTTCTGCACCACAGAACTTTGGTTTCAATCCTGTCGAACTTCAAATCTAAAATGACGAATCGGAATTTGCATCGAGCTGAAATTGAACGTTCACGCATTTTGTCACAGTTCGGCCACTTTATGCGTGATACATATCTTTTTTAGTAAAAATGGGCTCTACCGGTTTGTCAGGTGCGCCCAAAGGTTAAGAAGGGAGAACACAGAATGGCAAGACAATCGTGTCTTTTCTCATGCAACAAACACATGCTTCTGAAGCTCGCCTTGATGCCCCCAGAGATGGATCCAGCCAGGCTCTTGCGGCCCGCGATAAGCTCGAAGGCATGGAAGCTCAAAAGCTTCGGGGGGATGCCCAGCACCACCAGCTTGCCATCCGGCGCCAGGGCTCTGATGTAGGGCTGCAGCTCATGATCACCCGCGATGGTGTCCACAATCATGTCGAAATCCCCCACGCCCACGGGCCCGGCTTCTTTCCTGGGTTGGTCTTTGACCCCTGCAAAACGTTAAACTGTTGTTTGTTTAAAGGCTAAAAGCCTAAAAGGTCAACTTGTTCACAGGCAATAGGTTCAGTCGAACCAAAGGGCATCCAAGTTTCGCTTCGGGGAAGATTGCAAAGCTGTCCGCCTTCAGCTCCTAGGTCAAAATATGTCAAAACCCCAGAGGGCGGTGTTGCCTTTTGCAGAACCTTTGGCACACCTCCAAAACGAAGCCAACACCTTTGTCCTAAAAGAACAACCAAGCACTCAAGTCAGCACAAGGTGAAGACGAGACAGGTGAACAAACCTTGGTTCAATGGCTTCAATGGCTTAGCCAATGCGAACCAACTCCCGACCCTCCCCCGCCTGCAACGCCTCATGGCGCTTGGCCTCCGAGCGTGACAGCACCGTCACGTCAGCGCCCATTGCCTTGCCGATGAGCACCGCCATGGCGCCCAAGCCCCCCAGCCCCGCCACACCCAGCCGCTGCTTCTTCCGCAGGCCGTAGAACTTCAGGGGCGAGTACCTGCGAACTCACGCGCTTGCCTGCAAAGAACCCGTACATTCCATGCCGGAAAATTTGGTGATAAGCAAGCATCACCAGGGCTCAAGGTGACAGATGTAGACCAAACAACCAGAATCTCGTTTAACTGAAACCAGCCATGCAAGCTCTCTGCAACATATACATGTGTGGGCCCCTAAGTTCCTCTTGAAAAACCAAGTCGAGTTGAAACGCGTGGGCTGAGCCTGCCTCCAGTTTTGTGGGATGTGTTCCCCCACTAAAGAAACGCCCGCTGGGTAAAATTTGCCCCCGGGCACACGGTGATGCCCGCGCACAGCAGCGGCGTGGCGCCTGCCAGGTCCAAGGCCTCCGGCACGCGGCACACAAAGGCCTCATCCACCACCACTGCCTGGGAGTACCCGCCATAGGTCCGGCCCCCTCCGGCCTCGTCTCCGAACTCCGCGCAGTGCGGGTACTTGAACCTGCAAAGGGAGCCAATCCTCAAGGCGCCTTGAAGAGGCACAACGGGAAACCAACACCAACGCCAGAGAACCCGCTGCAAAATGAACTCTTAAACAAGCGGCCCGAAGATAGTTTACCGGCCATTGCCTGTCGTTATACGCGTACACAGGCCCAGTGCGGCAGTAGTTCTCCTGTCCGGCCAGGCACTGGCGGCACTGGCGGCAGCTGTCCAGCAGGTTGCCCACCCCCACACGGTCCCCCACCCGAAACTTGGTCACCGCCGCCCCCACCGCCTGGACCACACCGCCCACCTCATGGCCTGGCACCTGACGCAGAACTAGAAATCTGTCAACTGCAACTTCAGGAGTTCGTATGCTGACCCGTTGTTACTCACTCTAGCACGAATGTGCCTGAGACATGCTCGTTGTTCAACCATCTAAGAGTTGAATTGTTTTTCCCCCAGCACTATCATTTGCGAAAAGGACAAAGGGAAAAACGGTCGACAATTGTGTCCTTTGCCATTCGCACCCAAAATCACCAAGAACAAGCAGTTTGCCAACTCAGTCAGGGCACCATGGGGAACATGGCCTCAGCCCACTCCTGCCGCACCTGGTGAATGTCCGAGTGGCAAATCCCCGCGTACTTGATGCGGATTGCCACGTCCCTCTCCCCCACTGGCCTACGTTGGAGCTGGTGGGGCACCAAGGGCCCCCCTGGCCCCAATGCCGCATAGCTCTTGCAGCTGGAGCGCCGAACCACCAAAGCTCGAGCAACCCCTGGAAAAGTGGGCGAAGCCAGGCGCCAGAGCGCGGCCAGCGCGCCAGCACCACACGCTCGCCACAGGCCGACACGGACCGAGCAGCGGAAAGGCATGGCGACCCAACCTTGAGCCTTCAGCGACACTGAAAAGCTGCTAGGTGAGGGCAGTCTTCATGGCGCCTGATGTCTGAAATCATTTGGGTGTTACCTTTCTGGCTGGCGTCCCACATGAAACCAAGGCAGGCATATCGTGGTAAGCTTCGAATTGAGTTATGAACAAAAACCGATATCACATGCTTGTGCTCGACACCATGGTAGTGGAATCGCAATTATCACAAGACCAGCCCAAAACCTTCAGGGGAACCCGCTTTAACCTCCAATTACCTTGGTTTTGATTTCGGTTCGTTTGACCGCAACCTGCCGGGGGCTTGTTTCTGCTTCGGTGCCACCTGCTCCAGGCCGACAACCGACTTAAGACTCGCTTTCGAGGATCTGCGGATTGAAACTGGGCACTAACTCCTGCCTACTGAATCGGACGGCTCCGCCTTGTCTTCCCGCAAGCATGGACCAACAAGCCAGCAAAGGGCAACACAATATTATTGATGTCAAGCATAGAGCAACAGCCTTCCTAGGCTGCTAAACGGAAGGCAAAGACCGAGCCGAGACAGGCACGCCGACGCGCCGCTAGATTGTGCCGCGGCAGGGCAAAGATTAAAAGCACTGATTACCTGGCCAACCACATTTCGGGGGATTCAGTTTGTACGCCCTACTCACATACGTCGATCTGATATACTCCAAACCACATGGATGTGCCGCCCGAATGCATGTGATGCTTGCCAGTGTGCATGGAAACATTGGAGCCCTCCCTTGCTGGAGATGGATTTGGCGTGATGCTTGTCAGCTACAAGCGCTGTGTGGATAGGGTTGCAAGTTGGAAACTGTAGCATATGCTGCTGGATCAAACCCATGTGGTTTTCTTGCTCGGAGCTGTGGCGGACGCAGCTCCCAGCAGGTTTTGTGCTGCCCATGTCGTGTCAATTGTGTTGATGCTCCAGCAAGAGGGCGACCAAGGTTCACACCCTGAATGAATCTATCAATACATCCCACACCCAAGCACCTTTGACAGCTGCCATAGTACCAGGCATGAGTCAAATGAGCAGGGACCCCCTTGCCAAGGTGCCAGGGGGCCGTCCAAAATTCGGGCTCACTGCGAGGCGCCTGGCTCCCCATTGTCAGACCTGCGCGCAAGGCGACCCGATGCCAAAAAGGCTAGCGACCGCATAAGCAAAAGCTCACCATGTCCGAACCTCCAATTTTATAGACCCCTGAAAGTTCTTAACATTTTTACACTGTTGGGGAGGTTCCATTTCGCCTGACCCAAGCGCCAGATTGATGTGTTCGAGACAAAAACGTAAGCGGCCAAAAGTTTCAAACTCTGGGTGCGATTCAACTGTTTCAACTGGTTCAATATTGTCCTGTTCTGTTTAGGACGCCCTCCCTCCCCACAGTGCGCAAGGACCTCTACTTCAGGAATCTTAATGGCTCTCAGTGGATCGATCGGCAGCGCCTGAACTCCTGATGGTCCTCCAGAAGGAACGTCGCTGCCTTCTCCAGGGTCGGTCGCTACTAACGTGGAAGCATGCGCCAGCTGTCAAACATCAATTTGTTGTTCTTGAAAAGGATGCCTGGAATTCGATTTGAACCATTGCCACCAGCCTGCCTGCTCGCCGATCATCAAACAGGCGGCGTTGATGTTCCCGGAGACACAGTACCTTGTCCGGACCGATCGATGTGGGAACTGGCTCTGGGGAGAACATCTCTCGGATGTGAACAAGGAAGGCCTGTTTCGAACATCATACAAACATTCAAGACGTTTGGATAGCAGTTCAAGGGGCAAACATCAACAAACTCCAAGGCATGAGTCAAACCTTGCGACCCCTCTCAGCCAGCCCAAGCCCAAGACTCAGGAATGGAAGATCACCCACAGCAGTCCATGGTTCTTGCCAATGCCATCACAAGCGGTCTTCCCCAAAAAAGGGAAAACATAACGCAAACTGGTTGGGGTCGAGGTAAACCTCTCTCCCTCGTTTTTCCAGAAAATCAGCGTCTTCGCACTCTTTTGGCCTTTCAACACAGAGCAGCTGCACGTACTTTTCCACCTGACGCTGAGTTCGCATTGCGACGCCGCATTCCAGAAACCTGCGGCGCCTCGTTCCCTCACGCCACAATTCCCCCTCTCATTCCGCATTCCTGGCTGACGCTGCCCGCCGCCTTCCAATCAGTTTTGCAAGTTTTCCCTGCCAGCCCCCTTTGTTCTGCCCAGTTTTTCCGAGCTTCTCCAAGTACTCGGGAAGATTTTCCAAGCTTTTCCAGTCACGGTCTTTCCCTTCTCCGCCAGTTTTCCGAGCGGCCCCGGCCAGTTTGAGCTTGCCTTCAAGTTGCGCAAGTCAATTCTTCGTAGTTTTCCCCGAGCTTGCTTTTCCCAAGTTTGCAGACGATTCTTATTCGCAGGGTTGGTTGGTGTTGTCGTCGTCGTCGTCCAAAACGGCGTTAATAAGCTTGCCGTGTTGGTCACCATGCTTCAGTCCTGGATTGGCCCTGGTCTTCTCCAATTTCTCCCTGACAGTAGCTTGGTTGGATGTTGTTTCGTTCAAGGTGGAGGCTCACGAGGGGGCGCGCAAGACTGTCACAGATATTGATTGGCTTCGCCAGAACCACTATTTTGACGCGCTCCCTCCAAACAATGGAAGCTCCTGAGGAGAGTAAGGTCACAGAGAGTGAGATTTACAAAAACTTGCTAGAGTAAGAATAGTGCGCCAGCTCGGCAAAAAAAACAGGGAAATGGGGCGACCAGCTCGCACTCTTGGCCATGGCTTCCTTTCCCGAAGCTTCTCCAAGTTTGTCTTGCCAGTTTTTCCGAGTTTGCCCGCCTGGCCTCACCCCCACACGGCAGACAATCACTTCCGAAAGCTAAAAAAGTCTCTTCTGAATGCTGCCACTTTCGATCACTTCCGAACACTGAACAAATCACTTCAGAACACTGAGCACTCAAAACGCCGAAAGGGTTGCAAACCCCGGTCATGTAAAAATGATCACTTCCGAATGCAAAATCTAGTGGTTCTGGGGGCGTGGCGGGCGGGATGGCAAGCACATCCGCTCAACTGAACCAGCCTCTGTAACCGAATGTGCATATTCATCTGGTTCTGGGGGGTGGGGGGCGGGGCAGGATAAGCACACCCGCTGAACTGCTTCATCCCAGCAGGGTGTGCGAAATCCAATCAAATTCCTCTGGGTGGGTGGGTGGGGGGGATGATAAGCACACCCGCTCAACTGAACCAGCCCAGCCTGCTCTGTAACCAAATGTGCAAATTCATCTGGTTCTGGGGGTGGGGGAGGGGCATGATAAGCACACCCGCTGCACTGCTTCATCCCAGCAAGGGCGTGCAAAATCCAATCAGCGTTTAGCCCCAAGCCACACCAATCCTCAACCCTGAACAAACAACTACCCCCAAAACTTCAGGAAAAAACACAAATCATATAACGACAAGTTTCATAACACAACAACTATGAGAAAATGCACGTCACATGGCTGTGTCGGAGACACGAAGAACCTGAAATATGATTGAAGTGTCTTTGCCTCACCGGCGCGTGGGCGTGTGGGTGCGTGAGCATGTGTGCGTTTTCAGCACTTCGAACACAAGCAGCCCGGCGCGGCGCGTGGGCGTATGGGCGCGCCACGAACATGAACAGTTAGCAGACGGCGCAAGCAGCGCGTGGGCGCGTGGGTAACAATGTCGCTGCCTGAGCATGGGTGCGTTTCCAGCGCTTCGAACACGAACAGCCCAGCGCGGTGCGTGGACGCATGGACCCGCTGCGAACACGAACAGCCAGAAGCGGCGCAAGCAGCGTTCAAGAGCGAAGCACTCGCCGGTGTCTCGGCGCAGCGCGTGGCCTGTGGCTGCGCTTCCAGCATTCCTAAGCGATTAGTACGTTTTCCGGCGTTCCGAAGCGATTTTTAATCAGCGTTCCGAAGCGACGGTTTTCCCAGCGTTCAGGAGCGACGCACTCACCCCCGACACAAACACTCAAACCGAGTATGTGGTCCTGGCCCCCACGCACGCGCACAAACACTTGGGCCTGCGCCTCTGTCATCTGTATCGGGCTGGCCGGAGCTGCTGGCTTTCGGCGACACATTTACCAGGGCGGCCCGCTTCGTCCCGGCAAAAACGCCAAGTTGCGGCATGACAGACGCGTCCGCCACCATCAATTGCTTGACACCCCAGGGGCGGAGCCGCAAGTCCACCACAGACTCCGATCCCTCTGGCCCCAGCCTGGGATCAATTTTCCTCCCTCTCTGCTTGCCACTATCTTTGCTAGCATGACCATTTCTCTTGCAATGGGGGGGGGGGACTTGAGAATCACCAAGTCAGCAAATGGAAGCTTACTCTCTGACCCTTTCTTTTTGTTCAAAATTCCTCCTTTGCATGTTCATGTAAAACACAAACTCATTTCTCAATCTGGGCGACGCGCTTGAAATGCAGTTGAACAAGGGTCCCCCAATTCTGGGTCAAGTCTGCAAGTCTTGCCCAAGTGAACTCACCTTTTGAACCAAAAGTGGCGCTTAGTTTCGCAAAAAGTTGATGAACATAAGCCCTGTCCTGCATGTCCCGGAATGATGGTAGACTGTCTGCGCATAGCGCCTGACCGAGGCAAGATACGCGTTGGCTTTTCTCGCGCTTGAGAGCAGCTACAAAAAGGTTCTTCTCACAAAGACGCCCTTCTGTCATTGCAGCTGGGCACCGCCGATATGATGTACTAGAGATTTCTGTGCGGCCGCCGCCTGAAACGGCAACACACACACACACACATACATTTTCAACACTTATGCATACGCCCCTCTGTTTTACCGCGCCCCTCTGGGTGCTGCCAATGCAGAATCCTTTTGGGTAGCTTCAAGCATGATTTTCTCTGCGCAAGTTACAAGAGACTCTACGAGCACCGACCCCTGCCCTGCGAGCTCATTCCGAAATTCCTTGCCTGTCTGGGTGAAGACATCTAAGCCCTGCTGTTTGCGCGTCTCAGAGCTCCGTGAGCTTTTCAACTGGGCTGGTGGCTTGGAGGTCAGGCGATGCCTTCCGGTTTGGCTTCGATAAAAAGTGAGGGTTTAATTTCCCAAGTCACCAATCCAAACCACCAATCAGGGGCGTTGCTTCATGTGAAGGGGGTCCATCTGACGTAAAGGGTGCGGGTGCGGCCCCAAAATCCCACCCTATCCATATTCGCTCGCCTCACGTATTCGCGCATGTATTGCTCGCTGGCGGGGTCGTGCGGGATGTCCGGATCCAAGTCCTCCGCCACACCCTTCGACAGGCCCCCTATTTTAGAGACACACTTAAATTTAGGCAAAGTTTAGGAGGAGGGGGGAAGAAGAGTGCCGCCGGTGGGAACCCTGGCGACCCTGGTAAGACCAGATGTAAATACGTAGGTGATGGATATAATCATCTCATGGCTGAGTTTCACTGCAAGGGGTGCAGAGGTGATATTTGTGAGTATTGTTTCTCGTTTAAAGAGAACCTATGTGAAGAATGTTCCCGTAACGGACCCCGATGCGGAGTCTGTAGGGAGAGCTCGTTCCTGACCAAGGGAATTGAGTGTCAGTTTTGTAAGACCTACTACTGCACCAGACATTCTGCTGGGCAGGATGGTAACCGTGTCAGGAATAGATCGCCTGGAGGCGTAGCTGAGACGAACCCGACGCGGTCGTACTCGCCGCCTCTGCGGCCACCCGTTGACAGATTCCGTGACACTCCAACTGGGAGTCAACCCAACGCGGCTGACCTTCAGAGCCCTCCGAAGGCTACGCAACCCGTGCCCCTGGATAAACGTGAAACCGGATATTATCCAGGATTTGATCCCAACGGTACAAGGTCGAAGGATCCTTCAGGCCTTGAGCCGCCGACCATGCGTGGCCCCGATCCTCCTGACAAGAACTGTCGGATGTGTGATCGGGATATTCCTGACCCCAGCAAAATTGGGGAATGTAAGATATGCATGAAAAGGGCATGTGAGATTTGCATTCCGAAGGCTACTCGCCTTTGTCCTGTATGTGCATTGTCAATCGGTAGTTCTCAGGTTCCACAGCATCTTTTCGGAACTGGTGGCGGCGGGCACAGTAGCCACCATGATCCGAACTGCACAGCTGCGACTAAGTGCATTCCCATAGACCTCCCGCCAGAGCCCGACGCGGCTGGGCTGAAGGTATGGATAGCCAATATGAAGGAAGCTGTTAGCAATGCCTATAGCTATGATGGACTTTACGTCATCAATTGGCTAACTGAAGTCGAAAAGGCAAAGACCTTTGATGAACTGGACGGGGAATGTAAATACCACATCCTTGAAGCCAGGTTCAATGCAGCCATTCGGAAGTGCATCAAGACTGTTGCAATTATCGATAAGATTAATCGTCTCACCGAAGCCGCTCAACGCTCCAACAATCGCATCAAGAGTAGGCAGATCCTGTGGCTCTTATACGACCACTTAAGGACTGCAAATATCGGAGAGCAATCATTCAGGATAATTGAGCTCTCAAACTTGCGATGCAGTGTTTCATCTTTCTATACTGAAGAGGAGCGACTTGAAAGGTTCATCGCGAAGTGGGATCACATCCTTGCGGGTCTCGATGAACCGCTGACCGAGCAGGTAAAGCGGTCGCTATTCAGTGAGAAGGTTAGACACCTCAACTGTTTGGCTCATGATATCAGGGAATGGGATAGGAACATATCCAACCCTGATGTTTGTAGCTATGAATGGCTTCGTGCTCGTTGTAAGAACGAAATTGACCGCTGGAGGGTTCGTAAGAATCAGGTCAATATGCACAAAGACTTTTACGAACGATCTCAGTCCAGGGACAGAGCCCAGAAACCTGGTGCTCCTGGTCCTCCCGTCAGGAGACGATCTCCGTTTGGAGATTCCCATAGGCCTAATCGGCCTCCTAGTGATCCAAGGAAGAGGACCGGTAATACCCCAAGTCCTCATCGAAGGGACAAGTACTCTCCCAGGAATCGGGAGCAGGACAAGCGGCGTACGCCTAGCCCTAGGGGCGAGCCCCCAAGGAGGCCCAGATCTACGTCGCCCGGTGCTCCTGCGATTGATGCGTGCAGGGACTTCGCGCGTGGATACTGTTCGCGCGGACAAGAGTGCAAATTCGCACACACAAGAACTGGGAGTTCCGATGCGAAACGCAAGGAGCGTCCTCCCCTGATTCCAGGGTATTGCGCCCAATGGGTTTCCTATGGAAAGTGCATGAGGGATAAGTGTGATTACAAGCATGCAAAGCCACCTGAGCATTTGCTGAAAGAAGCGAAGCAACACACTGCGGCCCCAGCGACCGAGTCTGCCGATGCGCAACCCGAGTCTGCTGAACCTACTACCACTGCTGACGACAGGACATATAGTCCTGCCCCTGATTTGTCAGCGGGTTTTTGAGAGGGGCGGGCCGTCACCCTCAGGCTATAGGGCTTGTTGCCTGCCCTGCTCATCCCATAGCCAAGGCATTTGAAGAGTATAGAGCTCGGTTTCAACGCCCTGAAGGGACAATGGAGTGGTCAGTGACCACTATTGGCGCTCGTACACTGCAAGGTACGTGTCCGGGCGGCCCGAATATCAGAGCTGTAATTCGCAGACGAACGATTCGTCTCTCGGACAACGCTCTGATTGATGATGTCGATTTGAGTGTACCGACTCGCAAATCCGTTTTATTCAGACGGATTCCTGGGCCAATTGACATTAGGACGGATTTCTATTACCTGCCCGGTAAGTGCGGCCAGTATAACTCTGAGCTCGCGAAGGCAGTGAGGATTAAGCTCACTGCTCGCAGGCTGAGTTTCAATGACAATGCTGAAATTCAGCAAGTTGAGAATATAAGGACACGTGACGAGCCTAGGCCGATCATGAATCGGCGGTCGCATTCTCACCCCATTCACCCGGATAGGTTGCGTCAACCTCCCGAGGTGATTGCGATGTCCGAGGAAAATGCTAGAATCCTAGCTGCCACTACTAGACAGATTGTACAGTTGCAATTAGGTGAGTATGTGCCTGATAATAGGTGGGCTCGTCGCCCTCGAATGATCAGGGAAAATGTTCCTGATCAGATGCCTGCTATGCCTGGCCCACAAATCGAAATCCGGTGGCTTGCTGACACTGGGTGTCCTTTCGACTTGGTTGGGATGCACGACATTCCCGCGCAGGATCATCGCCACATCAAGAATGGGCGAACCCAACATTCCTTGCAAACCGCAAATGGTGTTGCTGGGACTCAAGGTAGAGTTGATGCAACTGTTGAGTCACTTGACGAGGATATTGAAGCCTTCGTCATGGGTAATACACCCTCGATTGTATCGATAGGGCGTAGGTGCGTGGATTTTGGATACAGTTTCCGGTGGGATGCTTTTGAGACGCCTGTTCTCATCTGCCCATCCGGGAGAACTGTTAGGCTCGACGTTATAAACAACGTCCCATACCTGCCTAAAGGGCCGGTTATGTTTGGAGCCCCGAACTTAGATGCATGTCCTGCGATACCGGCAATGCCCGGTCCAGTAATTGCCATGAACGATTCACTGTACCCTGCAGCTCCCTCTGAGGCCGACGCGCCTGACGAGGGGGGTGAAGTTGTTGAAATCAAACACCCTGAGGGCTACAGGACCGAAGCCCAGTTACGTGCTGAAGCTAAAACGCTTCAACACATGATGTCACATTTGCCAAAGAATCCTTTTTGCCCACATTGCCAACGCGCAAAGATGGAAAACGTGCGTTTGCACCGCCGGGGCGGTGCCGACGCGCATGAATGCACGAAATTCGGTGATATTGTCACTGTTGACACAATGGTGTTACACGGTTTAAAGGACCGTGGTGTGAATGGTGAAACGGACGCAGTCGTGTTTTACGATCTTGCGACCAAGTACATAGATGTACTCCCTGTTTTTAGTCGCTCTGTACCTAATACGGTAGAAGCCTTTCACAAGTTTATGGGTCCCGAACCCAAGATTGGTCTGTTCTACTCGGACCAAGCCAGAGAGTTTCTTGCGGCTACTCGCCGAATGGCTTGGGTACATCACATGTCCACACCCGGAATGCCAAAGACGAATGGCATCATTGAAAACAAAGTGAAGCTAGTTCTGCATGGAGCAAGAGTACTCCTCAGACAAGCCGGCTTGTCGCCCAAATGGTGGCCATTTGCCGTTCGCGCATTTTGCGCGGCCAGAAATCTTTAGGTGTAAACTCTTGGGGGCCTAGATTAGCGTTTACCAATGCCAATTAGCGTCGTTTAGTGTCCTTTTGCGTCTCCCCAATATATGTTACCCGCAATGGCCCGACTTGTATTTTAATAACCAACCGCCGGCAATCATTTCCATAGCGTAACTGGTCGCGAAACAAGGGGGGGTTTCCCTTGGTCTAGCATAGCCTTTTCTCCGCGCGGCCTCATCGGGAACATCTCTAAATATCATCGCACTTGCCAAACATGGCTTCCGCTCTTTGAGCAGCTGTGGATGCTGCTGATGTTTTTTCTGTTTCAGCAGCCTTTACAGGCTCTTCCAGCTTTATGCACGTTGGCAGGAACTGCTTTGTCTCAGTCATACTTGGGCCTGTCAACATTCTGACTTTAACGAATTTCTGGCCAACCGATTCGACTTCTGCTAGCTGACCATCGAATTTCCGCTTCAAGCGAGACACATGGATCCGGACTTTGGCACCGATCGGAAAACTTTGCGGAGAGACCACTCCTTCATCTCCCTGTTTGGCTTCTTCCTCTGGGAGACCTGTGCTCTCATCTATTGTTGGTGCAGGCTGGGGTGCTTCCATTTTATCGCCTTTCGCCACTGACTTTTCCTCATTCTTTGGCAAAAAATCACGCATGGCTTCCAAAACTCGGCCGTCTCTGGCAAGGTCTTTCTGGCCCACCAAAGACACCAGTTTAGGAAGGATATCTTTTTCTTCCTCGGACAACTTCTGAATGGAATCTGCCACCGGGAGCGTATGCATTGGGACGCCCAACTTGATAGTTGCGAGATCGAGATAAATGCCCTCGCATATTGGAACGATATTGGGGAATTTCCGACAAACCGCAAGCCACTTGCCGTACTTGTCCTTAGTCAAACTCAGATTATGATGGCATTGTTTGTTCAATCAAAAGAAAAAACAAAAGGGGAAATCCCATCGGTAAACAACCGAGCATCCAAAAGGGCACGGGCGACAGGATGCACTACATGCTGCAAGCAATCCTTTAGAGCAGCAACCTGGGAAGATGCTCGCAGGAATGCTTCCGGCTGGACCTTGCTCCAGTCTACCTCCTT